GGATGTGTTTAGAGCTAGAGGAAACGGGAGGCCCGGAGAAGTGCACCAGGCAAATCCTGGAATTTAGCTCTCCAGGGAACAAGGCTTGGTGCAGCGGTGCTAGATTGGTGTCCTCTCTTCCACCCTCATGGCCCTCCTCCCATACTAAGCCACACCAAATCATTATTCATGTTTACTATAAGTGTTAATCATAGAATGATATGAATGGCTTCAAAGAGTTCATGGAAAATGGAATTAAAGATAATGATTTTTCCCATGAACATTTTTCAACCCCCCTCATATGATCTATAGTTTTAAATTGCTTAAATGAAATCTTTCTTGGACTATAGGAATCTAACAACAACATTGTTCTTTAAAAGTTTTCTTCATTGAATTACAACATGATTAGTAAACGAGCTTTCACAATTTCTCTCATTTACCTTGAACACAATTTCTCTCATTTACCTTGAATGCTGGGTTCACAGTCCTGATTACCACAACATTTCAGCTAAAACACTAGAATATTGACAGAATTTGAAACTATGAAGCAGTGGCAGCAACAGAAACAGCACATGCTTGCAATGCAGTAGACAAAACTGCACAATTCCAATCGTCATTTTAGTTGGTTAGTAATGGCAGCTCTGACAAGAACACATCACTTAAAACCAAATCTATGGCCGTTACATCATTTCTGACTCAGTGACCCTCTAGTAGAGAGTAGAAGGCCCTTTGGGGATTCTGAGACTTCAAATACTTACAGGAGTATATACAGTCTTATCTTTTACCTGTGGAGGTTGGTGGGTTGGAACCAATGAACTCGTGGTTAGCAGCTCATTCATAACCTGCTACACCACCAGAGCTCCTTAGAAGGTAAAGAAAGTTAGCATAGGGATTTAACCTTATTGAAATATTGATACATGTAAGCAGGGCTCCTGAAACATTGCTGCTGTTATAACTAACTATAGGGATTTTAAATACATATAACTAATATATTTCTGCTTAAGTACTACACACACACAAATTATGGATAATCAATTATGGACAATCATTCTGGATAGTCACCTTTGCTGAGAGTGTTATTTGGTGCAGTTGTGTTCCACTGGTGATACTTTGGATTGTGGCATTTGTTTCAGCCTTTTATAGCTTCTGAAACCTCCCAGCCAATAGCCACTTAGCCTAACAGCCAGAAGCCAGCCTCGCATTGGTGACATTTGTGCTCATCCCTCAAACACTCTTAGAAAAATATTTTTTTAATCTGATGAGATGAGTGCCACCAAGAGAACTCTATCTTGATCGCTGTCCTTTTTGTTCAGCTTACTTATGGTGTGAGAGTCGGGTGTCTATGCCAAATCGTAAAGTCTGGATCCAGAGCCTGTGGGATCGGATTTTTGCAAATACTAATGCCTGACAGTGCCTTGCACAAAATAAATACTCAAGAAATATGTGTTGGATCAAGTGAATCTCTAAAAGCAAAGTTTCTACCTCCTCGCCTTCCTTGATATTCTGTATACTCAATGCCGTTGAGCTGATGCTGACTCATAGCAACCCTACAGGACAGGGTAGAACTGCCCCAGTGTATTTTGAGACCACTATAACTGTTCATGGGAGTAAAAATCCCATCTTTCTTCCAAAGAGTGTCTGACGGTTTTGAACTGCTGACCTTGCAGTTAGCAGCCCAACAGATAGCCACTAGGCTACCAGGGCTTCTTTATGCATGCCTACCGGCTTAATAAATGAACAAACGTGGAAGAGAGATTCAAGGCAACCACTTTCACTGCCCCAGGCATGAGAAAATAGGAAGAACCCTGGGAGAAATGCTGTCTAGTAATTGCACATTTGAGAAGTGGTGCTGATGTAGACAAGGTTTCATGCTTCAGATGGGAGGTGGATACTGTGTGTGTGTGTGGGGGGGGGGAGTGCATTTCATAGCTACAGAGAACCCCTTACCCAGTTTTACTGGGCCTTTTATTTCCAGTCAGGAAAAATTCATCTTTGTGAGCTAAGTCTGTCTGAAAGCCTAAAATCTTTCAGAAGGTAATATATAATTAAAAAATTTACTTGTGTGAAGAAATTTTACTTTTTCCCTATTTTTCTCTTCACTTGAATGAGAATAGGCCATGTAGGTGGTGATTTTTTGGTTTTTAAAAGAATCAAACATTTAATCACATTTAAGTGAAAGTGGTCTCAAGTTTAGTAAGTGTGATCTGTTGGACTTTATTGGGGTTGGAGATGCTCAACAATTTTGACATTTCTAGAAACAACCCTGACGCTGGGATCAGTCAGTAATTCTCATATTCTTCCTCCAAGATGTTAGGTGGGATCTTTATGAATCACCCATACTAACATTCAAGGAGAACGTGTGTTTCTGAATGACTATAAACAAAGCATACGGCCCACTGCATCTCACAATTACATGAACCAATCAGTCATGAGGCCCATGGATAGACGCCATAAAGAGGGCTGCTTACTTAACGACAACCCCGTCTCCCTCTCATCTCCTAGAGGATGTGCCTGCTCCGCCTGCCCCATTCGATCATCGCGTGGTGACAGTCAAGCCAGCAGCTGTCAGCAGTTTTTATTCTGTGAGCAGGACAGAGATTTTGGGAGGGTAAGTAACTCTTCATCTCAACATGAAGGAGACTATGGAAGAGACAGATTCTAAGGACATCTTAAGTCTTTGTCAGTCTTGACTTGAGGACCAGCGCTGTTCTAGATAACTGTATTAGAGTTGTTTTTAAAAAAATCAAATTCATAAGACAGTCAAAGATGCCAGTAAAGTTGATGTGGTGACAGTGGCTGAATTCCAAATTTATTATCTGTTTTCCTTCCCATGTGGTAATGTCTGAAAACGAGAGAAACCCCGTGAGTCACCAGAAGATTTAGAAGTTGCCTAGTGTCTTGGCTTATTCACCATGAAACAAAATGTGGAAATGAGTGAATACTCTGTACTTCTTGAGGCATCTGCATATCTTTTTATGACTGTTCCTCCTTTTCTATTTATATGGTTACAGTAGGACTTATTATTACCCATTCAATCAATTTTTTTCTTCAAGCCCTTAAGACCCCAGATGCTATATCTTTCGATAGCCAGGCACCATCAGCTTTCTTCACCACATTTGCTTATGCACACATTTAAAATAATCATTTTATTGGGGGCTCATACAATTCTTATCACAATCCATCCATCCACCCAGTGTGTCAAGCACATTTGCACATTTGTTGCCATCATCATTCTCAAAACATTTGCTTTCTACTTGAGCCCTTGATATCAGCTCCTCATTCCCCCCCACCCGCTCTGTTCCCCCCTCCCTCATGAACCCTTGATAATTTATAAATTATTATTATTTTGGACTTATGCACACATTTGTCTTCGGCGATCATATCGGTAAGGTGGTAACACACTGATATGTCAATCAGTTACTTCCAATATGGAAAGCAAATCAAAATTCATGAGGATCTGAATATATTTCTGAGACTGTCCTTTCCTCCTCTATTTCAGAGACAATACCTTATGATACCTCATCACCTAAAACTCAACGTATACAGTTGGCATTGCCAGATAAAATAGGAAAAGGACAACAGAAAAACATGCTGCAATTTTAATTACTAGTGCAAAGAAAATATGCATATCCACTTCAGGATGTACACGGTTCTGCAACTAGTCATTTGGGTATACTTGATACGGATGAAGTCCCTTTCTGCTCTTGTCCTTTCTTAGTTCTCTCGCCTTCCTCATGTGGCGCCACTGGGCGAGTTTGTCCTCAGCTGCTGATCAGAAGCACTCCCCATGAGATTATGGGAGAAATGGGGTTCAGAAGCACAGGGAAATGCCCTGAGCTCTGAGCATGACTTGGACAGTTGTGTTTGGGTCTCCAAAGATTTCAGTGGCAATCCTACGACTCTTTTCTCTAGGCCCCAAACAAAACATCTCACTGCTGTTGAGTGGATTCCTGTTTGATTTTGACTCATGCCTAATCGGTCAACTCCAAAGGACACAGTAGACCGACTCCAAAGGGTTTTGTAGGCTGTCTCCTGTCCAAAAGCTGACTGCCATGTCCCTCTCCCAAGGAGTGGCTGGCGGATTTGAGCCATAGACCTTTCAGTTAGCAGGTGAATGCTAAACTATGAGGCCACCAGTCATTTGCAGACGAGGGTGTGACTTGGTGGCAATCTCTGGGGTTTATGTTGTTCTTCCAGTCAAGGCTTGTCAAAGGTTCCTTGTGAACACCTTTCCGTCAGTGCTGGCCCCATTGAGCTTCATGTGGTCTCTGGAACGGGCAGACTGTACTGCACCTGGGAGCAGCAACCTCTTGGTCTGCGCTGCTTTCAGAACTGGCAGTCACGATGAGCTCAGTAAACAACTCGCCGTTTTTGCTGTTAGTTTCCATTGAGGCTGCCCTTAACTCATGGTGAATCCGTGCACGGTCCAACAGAATGCTGCCCCATCTGGGCCCACCCAGCTTCGAGGGCACTTCTGTATGCGATAATAATCTGTCTGACAAGTTTGCCTAGACTCAGATCTAAACTATCTCATCAAAACCCTCAGAGGTAACTGAGTGACTTTACAAATATATAAAGTGACTCTGTTTTTAATGATATTTACCTATATGCTATATGTTGAAATTGATTCTATGATGGTGATGGGGTTTGTGCAATTTTGTTGTACCTCTTATTTTCATGCATTGCCAGTGACAGTTTTATGTACTAGTTCATATGTTTGGGAGTACTTGGGCGGTATACGTAAATTAACATGCTTGGCTGTTAATTGAAAGGTTGGAGGTATTAGTTCACAGAGGGGTTTTTAGAGGAAAGCCCTAGTGACCCCCTCACAAAGAAGACCACACTGAGACACCTGTGGAGTAGAAACCACTTCTACTCTGATGCACAAGGGTTTGCCACGAGTCAGAATCAACTTGGTGGCAACTTGTTCTTAACTGGTTCACATGCGTACAAAGCTGTGCTTTTTACATTCGTGTGTATTCAGAAGATTATACTATCTCGGGTTTTGGGGTGCATGTGAATATGTAATCTTAATAAATCCCAGGTATTTCTGATGCAAGTGGCCTATAGACCACACTTGGAAAAACACTTCTTTGAGAAGCTTATTAAATACATTTTCTAAAGTTTGGGGTTGCTCATTCATACTCAAACTCAAAACGCCCGTGGCAGCAATACAGTAAGGACTTAGTAGCATCCCTAAACCAAGGCATTGGCCACATCTTATGCTTCGCACCATTCCTTCTCCTTCCAGGGGGCGCTTTGGCCAAGTGCACAAGTGTGAAGAGAAAGTCACGGGACTGAAACTGGCAGCTAAAATCATTAAGACCAGAGTCACTAAAGACAAGGTGAGGACCGTGTGGCGTGGGCTCCCCTTCTCATCCATGCTTCCGTGGACTGAAAACACTTTCCTTCTTCACAGGATGAGGTGAAGAACGAAATCAGCATCATGAACCAGCTGGACCATGTGAACCTCATCCAGCTATATGACGCCTTCGAGACGAAGAACGATATGGTCTTGGTCATGGAGTAGTATGTGAACCTTCTTCCCTTCCCTGTGGGCCCTCTCTTCCCTTCCCCTGCCAAACCCAGCCCACTGCCAAGGCCCTCACTCATGGAGGTTCCGCTCTATCTGAGGAGTGACTAGAAATTAGTTTGGTGTATCATTGATTTTTAAAAAAAAGTTTTAAAAATGTTTCCATAGTCTTGTTTGATTATAGCCCTATTAGGAAAAGCCCCTTAATTTCCCAAGGCTATCATTAAAAAAAATGAGTTTATTTATTTTTAACAGTTGCACCAATACACATTTCACATGTCATAAATGACACGGTTCCAATCACAGTCCTAAGAATTGTGTAACCATCACCACTATCAATTCCAGGACATTTCTTCTTCTCTGTGCTTGTCAGCTCTTAATTTTCCACCCACTTCCCCTGCCATGTCCCTTTGAAACTATTCATCCAAAAAAAAAAGAAACTATTCATCCAGTTGTCTCTATACGTTTACCTATCCTGGATTTCATATACAGAAAAACATACAAAATCCAAACCACACATGACAAATGGTCCAACAGCAATGACAGAATGAGACAGAGAAAAGCTTCAATCCAGAACAGAGTAGAAACATTAAAAACTGGAACACTTATACGTTGAATCAAGACGGAGATTGACTGACAAGGTGTCCCTTTTTACCTTAACTACAACTGCAGTAAGCTGCCCTATAGGCTACTCTGTCTGACAACAATGTCATCCCATCCTGGTCCATAGTCCGGGAGGAGGATTTGTTTGTGGATTCATCTGCATAAGAGACCCTGAAATGCGCTTTGAGCTTATAGCATTCTGTAAACTGGGTGCTCAAAATTTAGGCTCTAACATTTACTTACAATTTTTGGATCACATAAGCTGGTGTGCTTCTTCCATGTGGACATAGCTGATGTCTCACTTAGATGGCTGTTTGTGTTAAGACAAGTCTTTAAGGTCCCTCAATGCCATTCTTTCTGGAAGCGGGGCACCATCTGCTTTCTTCACCATAGTTTGATAGCGTATCCATATCTTCAGGAATCACTTCATGGGGGCAGACATTGAGCAAGGCCATGTCATAAGAACTAATTGTTCTTAGATTAGGGCTATGATTATGTGTGAGCTCAGAATCCATTCATGTATTTAGAGTTTATATATGTCTCTGGTTCACTTTAAAGACATGATTATTACATTGTTTAAGGATGTAATCAATTATCCCATGGGGCATATGATAGTTCTATTGATATTACCACTAATTAACTGACGGTATAGGATGTTTAAAATTCTGTAAGTATACACGTTTAGAACTATATTATAAACCAAAATACATAGTTTGCTGATTTATATAGATTAACAATTTAGGTGATAGAACAGTATTTTCACAATTAGGGTTAGAGATAGGAAAAATCTCTCAATAATGTTCATTCATAAAGGTAGAACTAGACTAAACATATTATAACAAGACAGAGTATGGAAATAGCACATACATGATAGCCTTAAGTTGTCATCTATTGATGTTCGTCAAGGCATGAAATTGAACCAACCTCCACTGATATCCTCATTCATAGCCTTGGTACAGTCGTCATCTGCTTCTTCGCACATGAGGGCATTCCACATTACGCCCGGGGAGCATTTCAGTTCTTTTATTGTGCTCCTGGTGTGTTGAAGGCAAAGTCCAGTTCACTTAGTGGGAGTTCCAAATTGAATCATTCTGGCGTGCACCTAAAAGGACAGAGTCTAAAGTCCTGGATGTTTGTAGCTTATTTTCCCATTGGTGGTCTACATACCTAGTGTTGAGCATTTTCTCCAATGGCACACTTCTCTTTCCAGCTCACCCACCGACCAAAGCTTAGTTGCCTTCTTTGAGACAGATATGCCCTCCACCCAGCCACCTCTTGACTTGGGTTTGCAGTGAGGTCCACTGATCATTTGTGTAGAAGTGTCCATGAATTTGGGGTGACCATGGAGTAACATCATATGGTAGGAACTAGTTGGTCTTTTCCCTCTTTCCACATCATGGGGGGCTGATGATGAGGCGAGGCTGCCCCTGTCAAAGGGGTTTTTAAAACTGTATTACCGATTTTGACTTAGGCAAGTTAGACACGCTCACTAGCTTCAGTAAGGAAACTGCTCACAAATATGCATTATTTGTAATTTTATTTATTAAGGATAGCATGGAAAAGCAGATTTAACTTTGTATCTGAGTTATGCTCTCAAAAATTAACCTTAAATATTATTAACAAGTACTTGGAGGAGAGTGATTTCTGAACTGACTTTCACCTTCAACCTAATCACTATAATGTAAAGTTTAGAGTAAATACTGATAATTAGGACTTAGAAGTTTCCATTTTAAGTCAATTATTTTTATTTTCTAAAATGTATAACTGGTTGTTCCATTATAAAAAAAATGAAGTTATAATTAAGCCTGATCAATGTTGCGATTCTGGTTTTGTGGTGTTTTTTTGTTGTTGTTGTTTTTGTTTTTGCATTTGGAGCTATGTTTATCATTGTGTAATAAGAAATCTGGTGGCATCCTGGGTTATGAGTTGGGTTGCTAACTGCAAAGTCAGCAGTTCGAAACCATCAGCCTCTCTGAGGCAGAAAGAAGAGGCTTTCTGTTCCTGTGAAGATTTAGAGTCTAGAAAATGCACAGGGGCAGTGATGCCCTGCCCTACAGGGTAACTATGAGTCAGCATTAACTCAATGGCAGTGAGAATAAGAAATTATTTTGGTTAAAAAGTTAGCCCTGGCTCCTGGTAAGCACTCTATCACTGGAACAGGGTTGAGATCCTGGCTAGCTTTCGGTGTGTTTGAAATTTCCTTTCACTGTGTTCTTACAGTTCTCTTTATCTTCAGCATGAAGTAGTGGATGTGGACCCCCTGAAATGCGATAGCCACGTGATGAAAGGGACGGTATGACATCCCGTTTGTGAAATGAAGATAGATAAAGCCTTCAATCTCAGAACCCTCTAGCAAAGCAGTAAAGAAAGTAGAAAGAGAACAGCACGCACACATCTTTTGGACAAGACACTTCCGTACGCTGCTGTGATAAGAAAGCCATGTAGTTATTGAGGAACCAACTAAGGGCTTTCTATCCCTCCTTCTACAGTGTGGACGGAGGGGAGCTATTCGACCGAATCATCGATGAAAACTGCAATCTGACTGAGCTTGATACCATCCTGTTCATCAAGCAGATCTGTGAGGGAATCAGGCACATGCACCAGATGTATATCCTCCATTTGGACCTGAAGGTGGGGTGTGATTCTCAGTTCTCTCCTCCCATTGGCCAGTGAGCCCTCAGGCATTACGTACCACCTCAGGACAATGGTAGTCTCACCTGCGACATATCTAGGATTGAATTAAAATCTGGAACCTCATCCTCATTTCATCACTCCCAACTTCCATCGCCTTTAGTCTTTGTATGTCCTTCTCTTTAAGGACTACTGTACCAATTTCTTAAAATGTGCCTGTTTTAAGGGAATCTATTTGGTAGATGACTTCCCTGAAAGTTTAAAACCAAAACAATGACAATAGAAATCCTTGAGGTGCACGGTTAACCCAAAAGTTGATGGTTCTAATTTACCCAGAGGCTCTGAGGGAAAAAGACATGGGGATCACTTCCTACAAGGGTTACAACCTGGGAGCCCAATGGAGAAGTTATCTTTGTTACACAGAGTTGCGACGAGTCAGTCACTTGATGCCACCTAACGACAACAGCATCAATATCAGCAGCCAGGTATTCCATCTCGTCAAGAATCCCCATCACTCTCCGGACATTCTGGGGAGGCTCTGAGCTTTAGGGATTTGTGGAGCACTGGGTAGAAACCTGTGGCAGAATGGGAATACAGGACAACTGGACATTGGTAGATGAAATGCTCAAGCATCTAGAACAATGGTTCTCAACCTGCCGCATGCCGGGACCCTTTCATGCAGTTCCTCATGTTGTGGTGGCCCCCCAACCATACAATTGCTTTCATTTCTACTTCATAGCTGTCATTTTGCTACTGTTACGAATTGGGCAACCACTCAAAGGAGTGGCGACCCACAGGTTGAGAACCACTAATCTAGAAGATACGGGGTGAGGTTGGGATAAGACACTGAGAATGTGGGACACAAGGAAGCTGAGCTTCATGCCATCTTCTTTTAGTGAGTACACTTCCCTGTACCCCCTTTCTCCATGTTGTCTCCGGGATTGAGCTGTGCATAGTCTCCATTACTCCAGTAGCAGATCCAGGTTCAATCACCCTGGTCATGTCTAGTATGGGGGCTATCCAAACACCACTTTTGTGTGGCTCCATCACACTTCATTTCCCTGCTTGCACAGCATGGCAGTGAGATAAATATTCTTAAAGATAACCCATAGTATATTACAAGTCACCAGGGACTAATTTAGCTAAATAATTTTGTGAAAGCCTTTAATTGGGTTTCTACAGGCCTCTCTTCTTTTATTCAAGTGTCCTTAGTGGTTTAGTTCATATGCTCCCTCTCTCTCCCATTTGCTCCCTGTGGGTGGGAAGCAGGAGAAAGTAATATAGAAGAAAGATCTGGAAAGCCCAAAACAGAACCCGTTGCTGTGGAGTCAATTCTCAAGGTGACCCCCGTGTGCCAGCGCAGCACTGTGCTCCCGAGCATTGCCCAGGGCTGGCTTTTCAGAGATAGACTGATGGGCCCTCCTTTGAGGGCCTCTGGGTGGATTTGAACTGACAGCCTTTCAGTTATCATCAGAGTGCCTTAATAACTTGTACCCCTAACAGGCTCCTTGGAAGGAAAAGAACCAAACATAACTATGCCTGTGCTTTTCCAATGGTCACCTGTGTATTTTGCTGTCCTTTGAAAATGTTATTTAATAAACATGCTTTAATTTAAAAATCAGAAAAAAACCTTTTGAAATACCTCAATTCTACTTCTCTACATTTTCTAAACAAATATTTTTTGGTCTTTTTTTTTTAATGCCATTATGTTCTTTGGTAAGTGAATGGTTTTATACATGATCGATCAGTTATTTAAGCACCCATTTCTCTAAAAATAAACCTTCTTTAGAGATGTTATAGAAAGAGGCTGACAAACTATGTTCAGATGGTTGATGAACAGACCCTGAGTCATTGCACAAGGGGCTTCTGAATTTCTGATCTCACTTGACCCTCCTTCCCAATGAGACGGGAAGAGAGCGGCATTCTGAAAGGACAAGGAAATGGAATTCCAGGGATTGAGGGAATGGCTAAGGCCTCCAGCTCAAAATTGGAATTTCAAGTCTTCTGTGTGAAAGCTTTATTTCTCTTTTATGGATGACTTTGACTTTAACTCAAATCACTTTTCCCCCGTAGATGTATGTGTAATAGGGCTACCATCTCAATTTCTCTCTCCTCACCCTAAAGACCACCAAATAGCAGAGTAAAGCCTTCCCAGGGGCAAGCTCCGAGGGGGCATTCAGTCAAAGGTTTTAGGCATTGAGGCCAAGCATAGCAGAGCTCTGGAAAGGTGCAGAATGAAGGAGATGGGAGGAAAGCCTCTCTTTGCCATAGGACTTTCCCAACCCACAGAGCCCAAAGGGAAAATCTAACTGGCAAGAACATTCACAGCTGTGTTGAATATTCAGCGTGGCTGTTTAAGCGAGTCAGAGTGTTTCTCTCAGAAACCATCAATATTGAGAAAAAATACCTTTCCATGAAGGGAAAACTCATATGACTAATTCTAGGAGGCAGATGTCAAGTAGGGACGGCTTCCACCAGTCCACCTGGAGAGCGCCTTCCAGCTTCCGTTCCGTCTTCCCTCTCACATGGGGCCTGCAGACCCAGCGAGAGGGACAGGCAGGGTAGCCGAAGGTTGGCAGGGACCCCACAACCTCATCCACCACATAATGAAAGAAGAAAATACCCACACAGCCACGCTGGCTGCTATGTGAAAGGCCTGATGTGTTTTTCTGCGCATCCTTGTATTTTTAGTTGTGGTCCCAGGGCAAGTTGAGTGAATGATGGCTGTTTTCACTGCTAATGTGTCTCTTTCTCTTGCAGCCTGAGAATATCCTGTGTGTGAACCGAGATGCTAAACAAATCAAAATTATTGATTTTGGATTGGCCAGAAGGTATGTTTCCTTGGACGCTGGCATATGAATATGGCGTTAAGGTGGATGGTTGCTCTTTCTTCTCCATGAGAAATTTTCGACACCCCTTGGTTCTATGCCTGCATCTAGATTTCATTTAGTTTTACATTGGGAAATTTGGGGGTTGGGAGTTGAAAACTTCCTCCAGGATATCCAGGAAAAACATATAAAAGTGAAAACCTTCTATAGTGAAATGGACTCAGCGAGGAGTCATTAACTTGGAACTTTTGAGTTTGTCTTAGTCTTTTGTGTTTGTTTCACCTGTACAGAGATTTATTTAAAAAAGTAATACTGTGCAAAAAGAATGCAAAAGGTTCTGACTTATATGCACTTCTTGAGGGAACAGAGAGTTTTTGTGGAGTTGGGGTGTTAATGAGGCATCTGAGATGCATGTGGTAAGCTACTGCAGCGTTTCCTTGTTCCTCAATATAGACTTAGTCCAGCCCGCTCCATGCTAGTGACTGTATCCGCTTCCTTTGCGTTTTCCATCATTCGGATGGTCTAACTATTTGTTGTCAGCTTCCCCCACAACTGTTTCCGATTGTTTTGGTTTTACAGTGAATTATCACTCTTAAAGCCCTTGAAACTTCTTTCCAAGGATTTGCTCTGCTCCTTTAAATATGTAATTTTTATCTACATATTTTATCACTATATTTTAAGTTTATTATCTAGCTAAAGTTAAGTGTTCTTATAGACTGTATCTTTTCAATGCTCAAGGTTTTAAACTTACTTTTTATCCCTCTACCTTTTCTCTGAAATTTCAGATATAAGCCCAGAGAGAAGCTGAGGGTGAACTTTGGCACCCCAGAATTCCTCGCCCCTGAGGTTGTCAACTACGACTTTGTCTCCTTCCCGACAGACATGTGGAGCGTCGGAGTCATCGCCTACATGCTGTAAGAGAGCGTCATGCCCAGCTGACCTTGGTGCTCCTGCCAGCGCTGGCCATTTTGAATAAAAGTCCCCATGCAGCTCTTTTAAAAATACGCCCACTCCTCATTTTTCGAAATCATCACGTTCCAAATACTATGCCATTGTGCAAAAACTGGCATTAGGTGAACATGGAAGATGACAAACACGTCAGATTACAAAATGGAAGATGAAAACCTTATTAGACAATGACCAAATTAATTCTATCACTCTATGATGGCCAAACCACTAAGAGTCGTGGCCTCGCCAAGTCAACCCATAACCTTAACCATGGCAGCCAATGCTGTTCTCACTTCCCAACTTGGCATTTGTTACTGTAGTGCTTGTTTTCAATGCACAACATAGGCAGAGAATAGATCTTTTATTGTTATAAATGCAAAATGTTGATGAACAAGAGAGTCCCAGGAGGCTTAATCAAACACGAAAACAAAACTCACCACTGTCTTGTTGATTCTGACTCACAGCGACCCTATATGACAGAGTAGAACTGCCCCTGTAGGGTTTTCAAGACAGCCAGCTCTTTCTTCCTCAGTACAATTAATGGGTTCCAACAGTTGACCTTTCAGTTAGCAGCTGAAAGCCGTTTAAGTCCGGTGCCACCAGGGCTCCTTCTATGCACTAGAGCAAGGACACCTTCTGAAAACATTATGCGGAGTTCAGGAAGTCAGACTCAAAGGGGCGAAAGCCACTTAGACGAAATATCCAAATTATGTAAATGAATAGAGACCAAAGTTTACTAGTAGTTCCCAGGGCCTTTGGGGAAGGGATATGGGAGTTGTTGCTGGAGGAGTCCAGAATTTCTATTTTCCAGTTGCTATTGAGTGGAGCCTGACTCATGGCACCTTTGTGTGTGTCACAATAAAACTGTGCTCCACAGAACATTCAATGGCTGTCACCTTCGGGAAGGAGATAGCAAGGTCTTTTGCTCCCCACCCACCACCTCACCCTAGCCCCCGCCAAGATGCCTCCGGGTGGACTTGAACCTCCAACCTTTTGGTTAACAGTCAAGCACTTTCACTATTTTCATCATTCAGGGACTCAGAGTTTCCGTAAGACCACTGCCATCAAGTCAACTATGATTCATAGTGCCTCTTTAGCCCCAGGGGACTTGCCACGCTCAAATCTGTATGGAAGCAGAAGGACACATCTTTATCCTGCGGAGTAGTTGGTAGGGTTCAACCACCAACGTTTTGGTTACCAACTGAATGCTTTACCTGCCGCACCATGATGTCTCCCTAGTTGCTGATTAGGAGGATGAAAAATATTTCAAAAAACGAGAGGGCTGATGGCAGAGTAACATGGTAAATATAACAAAAGCCACTGGATTAAATTTTAAATGTTTAAAGGCTGGCATTTTACCAGACTGGACTATTTTCTAGACTCGCCCTTGTGGGCGAACGAAAATGAATTTTGTCCCTTAGAGTAATTGCTTTAACTCCTAGTGTAACACTTCAAGCCTAAAGCAACCTTTTCAAAAACCCGGGGCCTGGTCTCCAGCGGAGATGCTACTAACCTCCTGTTCAGAGAGGACGTCCTGGCGCTTGCCAGCTGTGGGTGACAGCACTTCGCTGAACAGGAGAAAATGCTGCTCTTCTTATCGGCTCCCCTTTGGATTGCTGCTCCCATCGCCACAAAGAAGTTTGATGGGGAGGCTGGGTTAGGGGAGTGAGCGTTTTCTTGATTTTCATAATTCATTATAAAAGCATGCTTACATATTAAGTGGTGTTTCTTTCTCTGGCTTATCAGTGCAAGAACCAGAAAAGCAGCCTAGCTTCTTCACAGGGTAAGGAATGTCTAAAACACTCATCTGACCCATCTGCCTTCTAGACTTAGTGGCCTGTCCCCTTTCCTGGGCGATAACGATGCAGAGACCCTCACTAACATCCTGGCCTGTGCATGGGACCTGGAAGAGGACGAGTTCCAGGATGTCTCGGAGGAGGCCCGGGAGTTCATCTCCAAGCTCCTGATTAAGGAGAAAAGGTAAACCAGGCTCAGTCTGCACTGGGGGAGAAACAGGACCATCAGGGAGCAGTCAGCAATGAGGGCGGTTGCAGTCAGGCCAGGGAACCTCGGATGTTCAGGGCTTAGGCGTCCTTAGGACGCATGTGCTGAGTGGAATGCCCCTCATGCCACTTTCCTGGACCACTTTGGTCATTAGTGAGTGGCACTACCAAGAAACTGCTCTCCCTTTGTCTTTGAGTATGAGGTCCAGCAAGCCAGGCATCCCTGGATCTCAATTTACTCACCTCTAAATTGAAATTATTTCTATGGCTACTTTTACCCCTAAAAAACACATACGAGGGGGTTTCCAAAAGGTCAGGGGGGAGGGGAATGGAATGGAATTTTTCTATGAACTTTTTTAATCACCTCTGTATGTGGTCTGTGTCATTGCCTTATCTAGTGCTGTTGTAACGGAACTACTGTCAGCGATGGCTTTAACAAGCAGATGTATTCCTCTCACAGATTAGGAGGCTAGAAGTCTGAACTCAGCACACCAGCTTCAGGAAAACACTTTTCGCTGCTGGCTTGCGGTTTAGGAGGAAGGCCCTTGTCTTTCAGCATCTGTGGCCTAGTGTTCCTTGAAGATATTCACATCTCGCTCAGGTCTAGAAGGTTCCCAGCATAAGGACCTTGGGTCCAAAGGATGAGCTCCACTCTCTGCACTCCTTTCTTGGTGATAGCCAGGTCCCCCTTTCTCTGCTTGTAAGCCTCTTTCCGTTATCTTTCACAAGGTAAAAGGTGATGCAGGCCATACCCCAGGGTGTAAGGTTGTTGTAACACTTGCTGACGAAGATCGAGGATTACAGTCTTCAGTATGGATTAGAACTCAATAACTGGCTTAAGAAAAATCCTTCCAACTGGACCAATAGATATCATTGTCATAGGAGAAAAGATTGATGTTGTCAGGAGTTCATCGGGCTTGGATCCACAATCAATGCTCATGGAAGAAGCAGTTAAGAAATCAAATGAAATTGATCTGATTGAAATGTTGATGGTTTGAAGCCACCAGCCATTCCACCAGAGAAAGATGTGGCAAACTGCCTCCCTAAAGATTACAGCCTTGGCAACCCCATGGGGAAGTTCCACTGTGTTCTCTAGGGTCGCCACTGGGGTAGCCCAGGCAGTGACAAGATGGCCAGACCTGCCAACCTTATGATATCCTTGGAAGATGAGAAATCCTTATATATTGGGAACCTTGTATGCATCCTGTGACGGAGCCCTTCAAGTCCTCCTGTGGTTCCTGGTTGTGAACTTGGAGCCTGAGTGCCTCACAGTACTTTCAGCTAGCTCAGAGCAGACCCAGGCCCTGCTCAGTCCTCCAGGCTGGGGCTGCCCTCAGTTCTCCAGGAGCATCCATGCACACTGTGATGTGCTACTCACCCAGTCTTCAAATTGGTGTTTAGATGAATCAAGACCAGAATCAAATCTCACCATCGTGAAATACATTTGTGGCTTATAAAAATAAACCCGATATTTAATGAGCAATTGAATGATTCACACAAATTTCTTGTCTCAAAAAAAGTCAAATTTCAAAAGTTTGACATGACACCAAGCCTACTGTCACCAAGTTGAGTTACGCTTGGTGGCTCTGTATTGCATTTCCAAGGCTATCTATCTTTGCCGGAGCAGAGAGCTTCATCTCTCTCCATGGGAGGGCCAATAGATTTCAAGCAAGCCTTGTGGTCAGCAGCCTTTGACATGAGAAACCACACAAACAAAGCAAAAATAAAACCAAGCTCTTCTTGAGTCATTGAGCCAATGCTAATTCATAGGACATAATTCTACCCTACCCTATAGGACAGGGTAGAACTGTATCTGTGCGCTTCCTATACTGCAGCACTGGATGGGAGTAGGGAACGCCATCTTTCTTCAGAGGAATGGACGGTGGTTTCAAACTGCTGACCTTGTGACTAGCATCCCAACAGGTGACCACTATGCCATCAGGGTTCCTTTTGACCTATTAGTGGAAAATAATATTTCTCAGTAAAATTACCTCCATTCCTGTATCTCGGATTCTGCGGGTGCGATATTGAAAATGCATGTTACTAAGTAAAATTTCCCATGAACTGAGATTGGTTGAAGATCAGAGGGTTTTTGTGTGTTTCACTTCTGCCCAGAGAGGGTCTAACTATGGGCGATGTTGGCACCAGGTTAAGTTTCCCTTCTCCTGGAATACTAATGGACTAAAGGAAAAGTGTACTTCCTCTTCACCTCTTCTACTTAAATGGCTGGTGTTTGAGGAAGCAATCTTTTAAACTGAAGTTCAGGCAACACTTGAAGTTGTTTTCTTGATATGTTTTCAGAGCCACTGTCACTTTCTTTCACTCACTGATTTTTTTTAAGGGCATTCGGCTTATTGTGGCACATGGTAGCATGCCAAATAAGCTGGAGAAATTTAGAATTAGAATGCAATATAAACTTTATTATCATGTCTTATATTGCTAAAAATGTTTTGTCCCTATGTAAAATTTTATTAACGTCAACACAAACAACCTACTAACGTCAAGTTGATTCTGACACCTACCAGCCCCATCGAGAGTTGCTGAGACTGCCTCTCTTTAGAGGCGCAACAGCCTCCTGGGCTGCTGGTGGCTTTGAATCACCGATTCCGAACCTACAGTGTCTCGAGAGCTGCTTTTATTATACCACCAGAAGGATATGATTGCGTCCTAAAGGCATCTGAACAATGCACTCTCTTTTAATAGTTACATCCAGTATCAACTTATGGATTTATGCAACTCTTCAGAAGTTCATAATTCTATAGTAATGACTATACATCATTCAGAAATCTTAGGACAGAAACTCATTTTGCAATCGTTAGCAACCGTTGTAGCATTTTGTTTCTGTGGCTAACGAATAGAAACTTAATTTATGAAGCTTAGTGGTTGCCCCAAGAATGGTTCCTTATATTTGAAAGCAGACGTGCATCATGAACTAGACATTTTGGATTGGATGCTCCCACAATCACTGATCGCAGCCAGGGCAAAGAAAGTCAAATTTGATGGTCACCTCACCAGCCTCCCACAGGCAGAGCACTCCTTTGGCGTATTCCACTCATCGCCTTCTGATTTTTCCTTCAGTTGGAGAATCAGCGCCAGCGAAGCCCTGAAGCACCCTTGGCTATCCGACCCCGAGCTGCACTCCAGACTCAGTGCGCAGGTGACCGCCTCTTGCTGTGTTTCCTCTTCTTTGTCAAATTGCTTTTAAGTCTTAGATGTCTTAGAAGAAGTTCTTCCAGGTTCCTTGTCTCACATCCCTCAAACCTTCCGCTCAGGTTGAATTTCTTAAAAGTGCCTTTTAGATTATTTTGTATTAAACATGCTAATTATGCTATTCAATCAGGTATTATTTGCAGCATACATGTTGATTCAAGTTAGGATTAGATCACTGTATCCATTACAAAATGAATGAATTACATCACTGTGGTGCACACACAGCCCGGGAACATTAACATACGAAGTTTTCAAGAGTATATGCTAATGTACTTAGGCTTGCTGAACATGGAATGCAGAATTATGTATTCCATGCTTATCTGATTTAGTGGGCTCTGGGCACTAGTTTTACCTCTAAAAGTCAACTTGTTTCAGTTACTTATATGAGTTAGAAAGAAGGAAAGTCCTACCGAAGGCTGAAAAATATATATCCCTGAAGTATTTGTTGTAAACCATTAAGTCCATATTCTGGAATAATGTCAAACAATGAAATCTCTGTCTGCTCCCCCATTACTCCAACTGCCATTTATATTCAGATGCCCTCATCTGTCTCTTTGGCACAGATTTCCTTCCTAAGCTTCAGTCCACATATCCCACTGTCAAAGCTATTTTTACCTGGATCTTCTCAGTCCTAAACCAAACTCATCTCCCCCACTGCACCTCTCCCGAAACCCTCCTTTCCAGGGCACAATGTCTTTGGGGACCGAAATGAGACTCAGCGCACTTTCTTTGCTCCCTGCCTCTCTCATCACCTCTCCTATCTCATGCTTAATTTATCTCTCAGTTCTGCACCAATCCTCTCCCTCCCTTTGTTCATTGTTTGCCAGGGCATTTCCCACCCAAATTACTAGTCTCCTATCAGGCTTCTCTGTCTGGTTCTAGCCAAATGATTGTAGATGATATTAATAACACAGAAACAGATGTAAAACACTTAAGTCACATTGTTAAATATGTAGGATGTTTGAGTGTGCAGGATCCATGGGGAGGTGAAGCAGCAATGGGTGCGCCCTGCCTTTCCTCGGGCCTCCTCTGGGGCAGGTCGGCCGTGGGCCTTGTCTCATGCCCCAGGCACAGTGAGTGTTCAGACATGATTTCTTCCACCTTGGCTCCCCACCCTCCTCACCCGTGTTTAGGAGCGGAGCTTTTTTCGCTGACGAACAAACCTCTGAATGACTATGCTCAGGGACTCATTTTTTCCACATCCACTTTTTATTGAAATTAACTTTAACTCTAAATTTAGCAACAGAACTAAGCTTTATTTGAGTGCTGAATATACCTTCTGTGATAATTGGTACCGATGTCAAGTAAAAATAGACTTATTACCTAGCTGGTACCTCATCCAGACTACATAAACTGCTTATTAGAGTTACCAACCAATTCTGAGCCCATTTTTCCACCAATGTATTTTTATCCAAGCTTATTTGTGTCCAAATACACTTTGACATAGTAGGACAATATAGAAACCACAACAGATAATTAATGGCATTATATATTTTTAGGTTTAAAATATGTTAAAAATCATACAATAACAAAAATTACCTTTTCACATATGCCATGTGATTACTAGTAACCAAGGTGAACAGACGGTTCAAGAAATTGGAATGAATTTCCTCTTCTTTTTAAAACTCTATTTTGTAAATCCAATGAGTTATCATTAAAGCTGTGGGTAAGCACTTGGATGTTAACTGAAAGGTCTGTGGTTCAAACCCACCAGCCTCTCTGTGGGAGAAAGATGTAGCTCGGTGCTTTTGTACAGAATACAGTCTTGGAAATGCTATGAGGCAGTTCTATTCTGCTCTATAGGCTTTCTATGAATCAGAAACGACTTGGTGTTTTGGTATATGCCTGACAGTGTTCTACATAATGGAACACACTGCATCCTTCTAACAGGCCTAAGAAATACGCACTGTTATTATCCCATTACACAGATGGCTGAGCCAGGGATGAGCAGTTGAGAACTTGCCCAATGTCAAAGCCAACTTGTAGTTCAGGTAGGCAGGATTACCTAGAATTTAGAGCAGAGACTCACAGCACCCTGTCTGCTCATTGGCGGCTGGGCAAAGCTGTCTAAGTGATGCATCCAATGCTGATCTAGTACCTCGCATATCTGGTATTCCCAATCGGCATTATTCGTATATCAGAAGATTTCCTTCTGGAACAATCTTGGTTTGGATATGTTACATAAAATCTTCAAAATTTTAACTTTTGTGGAAATTTAACTTTTATTCAAGGCCACTTAGCATTTAAATTTAAATCATATTTTTAAAAGTCTTTTGCAGATTCCCTGCTATTTTGTGTGGCTTTCCGTGAACTGAGGGTCAACTCAATAGTAGCCAACAATACCATGCCTCTTTATTTTTATCTTTTAATGGATTTATGCCGAAATGCACTTGTTACCTTTAACTACTCAGCACACCACTATCAGTCACTAAACGTAAGAAGGATTTTCCTCCTTAGAAATTAAGGGTCCAAGGTCTATTCTGTATTTTTTTCAAGATGACATGCTGTGGTTCTCAGCCTTTTTCTGTCCCCAAAACCATCTACCCACAACCTATGTTTCATTAAAAACATCCTTCAACCTGGGGTGGGGGCAAGAATCCTCAAAGGAAAAAAATCTATTCACTCAGTGCCGTCAAGTTGATTCTGACTCATCCACCCTGTAGGATGGGGTAGAACTACCCTTTTATGTTTCCAAGGCTTCAAACATTTCCAGAAGTAGACAGTCTCAGCTCTCCCCCTCAGTGAGGCTGGCAGGTTCAAACCGCTGACCGGTATCAGCGGTTAGCAGCTCAGTCTGTAGCCAACTATGCCACCAGGGCAAAAGCTACTGGACAGCAGTAGACAGCTACTCCAGACTTAATAAATGTTTTGCCACAGAGGAAGGAAAAAGAATACATATGATGTGATTGCTTTTCTTCTAGAACTATAAACTTCCTTTCTTCCCATGCTGCACACTACTACCTTAACTCAGCCCTTCTTCTACTAGTTGGTAGTTGAGCTCTGGTAGCATGGTGGGTTATGCATTGGGCTGCTTACTTCAAGGCCAGTGGTTTGAAACCAGCTGCCATGCTGTAAGGGAAGGTTGAGGCTTTCTACTCTAGTAAGGATTTACAGTCTCGGAGACCTTCGGCCACTCTTCTCTGGCTACTGGGTCGCTAGAAGTTGGAATGGCCTCCATAGTAGTGAGCTGTCAGTTTTCCAGTTGATAGTCAGCCTCCATGTATTCCTGTCCCGAATCCATCAAGACATTATTTCTCTAGTTAAAACTCTATCATAGTACTCCCTGATGAATAGGTTTTCCATCACTGCCCATTGTCCACACCCAGCCAAAGACACCAAGCAGGCAGGCCTGTTGCAATATGGCTCAATCTCAGATTCCCAGGCTTCTCTCCATACTGCCACCATATCAGCCCCAATCTTGGTTATTGTCCAAGGCCTATTGTAAAGGCCAGCTCTTGCAGGCAGCTTTCCTCAGGCCTAAAACTGGAAATCCTTTCCCCGTCTTCTTAAATCTCAGTTGACACTTACATTTTATGTGACACTCAACTTTTATCTGCTAGATTTAAAGGCTTCTGGAAGAACTCAGCTTCTTTTTCAGACTCTTTTTATCTCTTCACTGCAGCCCAGTTTCGGGCCCGACTCTAGTATTTAGAAGGCAATAAATGTTCATTGAAACGAGTGGTAACAAAACACACATGTGTGAAAATGCAGTGTAAGTAGGTGCTGAGCTGTTTGGCCCCTTCCCTAAGTGAAAGAAAGAGTAGTGGTAGCAGGAGCGATAAGAGAAGCTAAGAGGAGAGGAGGTTGAACTAGACTTTGAAGGTGGTCAGGATCCAAGTCAGTGTGAACTTTTTCACGGTGTAGGCTTCCAGAGCTACCCTTGAGCAACATTGTCTATTATGTACAAAGCTATCTACTCTTCAAGTGCTCTCATGTACGTTAGGAGGTAATGGCAAAGTTCTAATCATTCCTCAAATGGTTTCTGTTTTCCCTAGAGGCAGAGAAAGAAGAATTGCTTCCCTGATACCCAGAATCATGGGACCAAATAGTCTACATAAGGATCCTATTTGAAAGGTTGGTCTTTTTTTGGAAAAAACAAACAAACAAACAAACAAACAAACAGGTGTTTAGGCAAAATTCAATGGGAGGAACAAGAAAAATCTTACTATGCGTTGCACAAACAATGTGGGGAGCTACATAGTACTTTGGCTAAGGTGTGGGCTCCACAGGCAGAGAAGCGGTTTTTACCCCAGCTTTGCCAGCTCCTAGCTGAAAAATCCTCAGGTGTCTGATTTATGTATTGGGAAAATAATAACATTATTTCTTAAGTTGATCGTGCAGTTCAAATGAGATCATGTGAGCCAAGCAAGCAAAGCCCTGAGGCTAAGGCCTGGCACATAGTAAGCACTTGGGAAACCTTCGCTCTTATCAGTAGTAGGTCCCTGGTAACTGTACACAAACGATCTCATTTAGTCCTTTCAACAGTGTTCTGGGCTGAGAGGAAATAATGCTCTCTTTTAAGCAGTCAGGAAAATAGAGTCTCAGAGACTCATTCACTCAAGTGCATACATGGAGATGTGGGATTCCGTTCCATGTCTTTGAATCTAAAACTCAAGTTTTTCGTTTCTACCCTGAGCTGCCGCCTGCTCTTGGCCACTTTCTGATCCCAGTGAACAACACTTCCTACCAACCTAGATAGATGCGCTCTTTTATTCTGTTTAAAGTGTCATGAGAATATTTAGAGATGGTTTTATGCATGTAGAAGGTATTATCTTGCTAGCTCAATAGATACTCAAACAGAGAAGCGTAAGGAAACAGCAGCACATGACTGCTCAGACTTGCAGACATCCAACATTCATATCCTCCAGCAGGGGGACTGCTTCCATTTCAGAAGGAAGGCTAATGGCCATTTCTGCACTCAGTTTTAAGGACTGTGTAGGACTTAAGCTTGAGCATCTGATTTCTAAATTTTTGCTTTAACTTTTTATTGTGATTTGGGTGAAAGGTTATAGAGCAAATTGGGTTTCCATTCAGCTATGCATACACATGTTTATTTATGAAATGAATGCAATTCTTACAATGTAATAACACTCTTCCAACTTTCTCCCCATGTTGTTATTGATATCCTCCTTTCATATCCCATCCTGCCTCTGGGCTTCATCCTTGAGCAAACATTGCCCTCTTGATCTCCGATGGCTCACTGTTCTAAGAAATGCACACCTCCCGATGGTGCAGTTCACTTTATAGGCCCGCCTATACCTTGGCTGTTAGCTGAGTGTGTGCCTACAGTCTTACTACCCATTGGCCCTAATCTTTTATTTGGATTTATGTTCACTCTGGCCTTAGATTTTTGCTTATGTGCTTGATTATATTTATTCTTTTAAAAATAATCATTTTATTATTAAATATCTGATACTTGTTTATATATATATATTCGTTCTCAAAAATTGCCTTCTTTGTCACTGTCAAAATGACATTATTTACTTTCACCATGTAGTACAACCATTGCCATGATCCATTTTCAAATAAGAAGCAGAAGCTCAGTACCCCTTCAGCAAAAAGAATCCTGTCCTCGCTTCCCTGTAGCCCCTGCTAACCACTAATTTACTCTGGTCTCTATACATTTCTTATTCTAGGTGCTTGGTAAAAGTGATGTCAATGAGCATGAAAACACCAACTGTTACATTTTGTTGCTTCAAATGTTAGATTTGTTTCTGGGAATATTTGACCTGCTGATTTCAAAATGGCACCAGTTTCCCCCTGTCAGTTCTAGTTTTTGAGATATAGAACAAATATCATATACCACTCTTCACTCTGCTTACTCATTAAAAATCAGAATATTTGTATATTCTGTTAACCAGCCCGAGATAGAGGAAGTACACACTAGTTTTATTCAAAGTCATTAGTGTTATACTAAATATTTAGTTAAAGTTATACCTCACATGGTCTCCTTTGATTCAAAGATGTATTTTTGCAGTGGAAATTATGTGAACTTGGGATTTTCCCCCAAGTATAACTTCACCTTCATTAGGAACTGAATAGCAGTCAGTTCCAATTTGCTATCATAAAAACGGGGTCAGAAATAAGAGTTATAGTACAATAAATCAGGAGCCTTGATGGCAGAGTGGGTTATGTGCTTGACTGCCAACCACGAGGTCAGCTGCTCACAGCCACCAGCCGCTCTGCAAGAGAAAGACGAGACTTGTTGTTCCCATGAAGATTTACAGCCTCAGAAACCCACAGTGCAAGTCCCACTCTGCCCTGTAAGGTCACTATGAGTCATAATCAACTGACGTCATGAATTTGGTTCAATAAATAGAGATTCAATGTTCAGAAACCTAAAATGGGTCTGTCAGAGTTCAAACTCCTTTATTAGAATTAAAATGTTCCAGTCTTGTTATAAGGTGGCAGAACTTTTCCACCTGGGCACAGAAACTCTCAAAAGAAAAGTTAGAATGTTTCTTATAAAGAAGCTTGGAATTTGCCTCACCACTGAAACATTTAGTATGAACTATCCATCGATCAAACACGCACTGAAGATGCATTGATCGTTATTGGAGATTGGAATGCAAAAGTGGGAAACAAAGAGGAAGGAACCATAGTTGGGAAATATGGACTTGGTGATACAAATGAAGCATGATAGAATTTTGAAAAAACAATCACTTGTTCATAGAAAATACTTTTTTTAACAACACAAAAGACAAGTATACACATGGACTTCCCAAGATGGAATACACAGAATCAAATTGACTCCATCTGTGGGAGAGACACAATGGAGAAGCTCAATATCAGCCATTAAAACCAGACTATTGGGCAACTATGGACAGACCGTCATTTGCTCATATGTAAGTCCAGGACAGAGCTGAAGAAAAATAAAACAAGTCCATAAGCGCCCAAATACGACCTTGAGTGAATAGCACCTGAATTTCGACAACATCTCAAGATACAGATTTGATGCCTTCAGCACGAAGGAAAGGGGACCTCGTGAGCTGCCGTGGGAGGATAGCATTCCCAAAGAAAGCAAACGGTCATTAAACAGACAGGGAAGAGAGAAAGCAAGAAAAGATAAAAGTGGATGTCAGAAGAGATTCAAAACAATCTCTTAATCATAGACTAGCTAAAGCAAATGGAAGAAAGGATGAAGTCAAGGAGCCGAATAGAACATTTCCAGGGCAGCTCGAGAAGACAAAGCCATATATTATAAGAAAATGTGCGAGAACCTAGAATTAGAAAACCACAGGGAAGAACATGCTCAGCAAATCTGAAACTGAAAGAACGCAAGAAAAAACTCAAGCCTAAAGTTGAAAATCTGCAATATTCTAGAGGCAAAATATTGAACGATGCAGGAAGCATCAAGAAAAGATAGAAAGAATACATAGAGTCACTGTACCAGAAAGAATTCGTCGGCAGCCCACCATTTCAGGGGTAGCATATGAACAAGAACCAATGGTGCTGAAGAAAGATGCCCAAGCTGCACTGAATGTATTAGCCAAAAACAAGGCTTCAGGAATTGACAGAATACCACTTGCAATGCTTCGGAAAGCTGCAGAAGCACGGGAAGCACTCACTGGTCTATGCCAGGGAATTTGGAAGATAGCTACCTGGGCAATTGCCTGGAAGAGATCCCTATCTGTGACCATCCCAAAGAAAGGTGACTCAACAGAATGCTCAAACTATAGAACAATCTTCTTGATATCACACATAAGTAAACTTGAACTTAAGATCATCTAACATCAGTTGCAACAGTACGTTGATAGGGAACTGCCAGAAATTCAGGCCAGATTCAGAAGAGGATGTCGAACAAGGGATATCATTGCTGATGTCAGATGGATCTGGGCTCAAAGCAGAGACTACCAGAAAGATGTTTACATGCATTTCATTCACTATGTAAGGGCATTCGACTGTGTGGACCATAATAAACTGTGGACAAGCTTGAGAAGAATGAGAATTCCAGAACTCTTCATTGTGTTCCTTCGGGACTTCTGCCTGGGTCAAGAGGTAGCTGTGAGAACAGAACACAGGAATACTGCATGGTTTAAAATGGGGAACGTGTGAATTAGGGTTGTATCTTCTCATCATACTCGCTCAAAATGTATGCTGAGCAAATAATCAGAGAAGCTGGATTACATGATGAAGAGCGGGGCATCATGGTTGGAGGAAGGTTTATTGATAACCTGTGATATGGAGATGACACAACGTTGCTTGCTGAAAATGAAGAGGACTTGAAGCACTTGCTGATGAAGGTCAAGGGTTGTAGCCTTCAGTATGGATTGCAACTCAATGTTAGAAAGACCCAAATCCTCACAAGTGGACCAATCAGTAGCATCATGATAAATGGAGAAAAGGTTGAAGTTGTCAAGGAGTTTGTATTATATGGATCCACAATCAATGGAAGCAGCGGTCACAAGACAAGTTGCATTAGGTAAGTCTGCTGCACAGGCCTCTTCAGAATGCTGAAAAGCAAGGTTGTTACTTTGAGGACCACGGTGTGCCTGACCAAAGCCTGGCAATCTCCATTCCATTATATGCATGTGAACGTCGGACATTGAAAAGGAAGGCTATAGAAGAATCGGTGCATTTGCATTGGTGCTGGTGAAGACTATGGCGAGTACCATGGACTGCTGCAAGGACAAAGGAATCGACCTCAGAGTGCTCCTTAACTACAAGGATGGCAAGGCTTTGTCTTACATGTTTTGAACATATTGTCAGAAGAGACCAATCCCTGGAGAAGGACACCATGTTTGGTAAAGTGGAGGGGTGGCTGAAAAGAGGAAGGCCGCCCATGAGATGCATTGACACAGTGGCCGCATCACTGGGCTCAGGCATAGGCACAATTGTGCGGATGGTGCAGGAGCATGCAGTGTTTCATTCTGTTGTGCACAGGGTCACTGTAGGTCAAAGCTGACTTGATGACCCCTACCAAGAACAACAACATCTACTGACTTCTGCATATTGAAATGTGTTCTGAAGTGTTTAGTTACTGAATAACTCGAAGAAGAAACATTTAGATCTTCAAAATATTTATCAAAATTTCTATGAATTCTTACATTTTAGACACTCTGAATTGCTCTCACACCTTCTTAATGATCCTTTTCAGTTTTCTTTTGAATATTCCATCTTCTCAAGCTGTGTTCTGGCTTTACAAGTATCCAACTGTTGGTCTCTATAAACATTGCACAGCCTCCCATGCCAAAAAGAAAACCCATGGACATCTAATTGATTCTAATTCATAGTGACTCTATAGGACAGAGAACTTCCCCTTTGGCTTTCCAGATCCTTAAATCTTTTAAAGGCTGTAGAATGACAAGTGGGTTCAAACCACTGACCTTATGATTGGGAGCTCAATGCCTAACCAACTAGCCACCATGGGTCCATGGAAGTCCCTTAAAACCTTATAATATTTTAAATATTGCTGTAAATATTGGTCTTATAATTTGTGGGTCTGATCACCTCTCATATTTAAAACTAGAATGATAAAATTTTTAAAAATTAGTATAACTTAATAGATGAAAACTGAGTGGTGCACCATATCTAAGACATTAGAGCTGATGTCTAGTCAATGAAATCTTCTGAATCAACATCCCAAATAATCCCAGGAATAGGCCTAAAAGCAAGACACTAAGAAAACAATTTTTTGTTATTGGGCTGTGTTATGGGAGACAATAATTCATGAATTGAGATACAAGATTGAAAGGCTCTCAGTGCGATTCTCCACTAGTCTGAGGCCACATAGGATGGAAATATTAAAATTTAAGGAAGTAACAGTAAAAAGTGTTCTTACTGGCTAGCTAAAGAAGGTACCTCTTACTTCAGTAGCTCAATACAATAAGGACTTGCCCGTATACGTTCTTTG